TTCATTCGTTCGTTTCTTCGTTCACTCCTTTCTTCGTTTGTTCCTTCCTTCCTTCCTACCTTCCTTCATTTATTTATTCTTACTTTCCTTCCTTCCTTCCCTCATTTATTTATTCTTACCTTCCTTCCTTTCTTCTTTCATTCATTCATTCTTACCTTCCTTTTTTCCTTCCTTTTGTTTTATCTTCATTTTTTTCATTTGAGTTTTTTCTTTCTTCATCTTTTTAAAATTCTTTTGTCTTTCCTTCCTTTTGCTATTATCTTTAATTTTTTGTTCGATCTTCATTTGTTTAGTTTGTTTCTTTTATTTTTCTTTCTTCCTTCCAATTCTCTTTCTTTCTTTCTTTCTTTCTTTCTTTCTTTCTTTCTTTCTCTATCGTTTTGCTTTTATCTTTTGTTCTATCTTCATTCCTTTCATTTGTTCGTTCCTTCCTTTCTTACTTACTTCCTTTCCTTGCTTCCTTCATTCATTCGTACTTTCCGTCCTTGCTTCTGTTTTATCTTCATTCTTTCCTTTGATTATCTTCTTTCATTCTCCACTTTTTCCTTTTTTCCTTGCTTCTATTATTCCTCCATTTCATTCTTCTTTTTTCTTTTTCTTACTTTATTTATTTCTCTTTCTTTCATTTTTCATTTTTCTTTCTTTCTTTCTTTCTTTCTTTCTTTCTTCCTTTCTTCCTTTCTTTCTTTCTTTCTTTCTTTCTTTCTTTCTTTCTTTCTTTCTTTTTTTGTTCTTTCTTTCTTGACTTGATCTCGCTTTTTTTAGATAATCTATCCTAAGGCTGCACATGTAAATATCGTAAAGTGTTTTGTGTGCGTGAGTCTGTTAACTGCTGTCTCCACCTGTCCTCACAGAGCTCATGTGAGTCGGCTCAGGTGAATGAGTCGGCTAGGTGAGGCGTCAGAGGAGCCTTTCTGCAACTCATCCGTGCATTCATTCGTTCCTTCGTTCTATCACGCTGCTAAATCGCCAATGTGCTGACATTTCTCTTCATTAGAGGCAGTGAGCGGGAACGCGGGGACCGGAGACATGCTTCAATACGGTTCTTCATTTAAAGGGGCCACGCCTGAGCTGACACATTAGAGTCATCCGCACCGGGACGAGCCACGGCCAGCGTGCTTTAAGAGGGTTCACGTCTTGGAAAGGTCACGTAAAATGACACATACACACATACACCATCACTCACATACAGTACGCTAATGCCACTGCAGACAAAAACAAACAGGCAAAATACACTTCTGACGGTTTCTTTTGTAACTCATTATCCATTTGAGGTGTTGTTTGCACTAGTGCGTTTTTGTTTTAAAATATATACCGTTTAAGTCAGAATTGTTAGACCTCCTGTATATTTTTTCCCCCAATTTCTGTTTAATGAAAATAAGATCCTTTTCAACACATTTCTGAACATAATAAGTTTAACCACTTAAACTCTGCTGCTATTTGGGGATTTCCGCCTGGATTTTGCCTACCCAAATTTAAAAGCTTCCCAAATCCACATACAGAAGTGTAAATTCAAAAATGTGGTATCATTTTAAAGAAAACCCTTTGAATTTTCATAAAACACTATTGAAAGTGTTTAAAATAACTGTATATGTCGTCTGTGTTATAATAAACACCTAAAAAAAGAGACGCTTTTGTAATTTTTTTTTTATAAACTCAAATTTGAAAGTGTACCTTTTAGGTTCTGTGTGGTCTAGCGTGCTGTAATTAATTTTGGTGGTTCCTGCACATGTTTGTAATCATAGGAAAAAAGAAAAAGGTCTCCACCATAATCTATGCAAAAGTTATTGCATTCCAACTGATGAGAGGTGCTGTATAAGCCACAGAGACTGATCCTTGTTTACATATTTCACTATTCTTTTGTTTGATCAAACATAATTCACTGTGTTTGGAGCACATCAGACATATAAAAGTATTACTTATGCACATCACCTCAAAAACAGTGGAGAATGGCCCTGAAGCACACAGCATAAGGTGAGAGATGACAGCTGTCTGTGCTATCTGGGGCTGCTTATTGATCATGAATGTATTGTTTACATTTCTGCGGCATGGAAACACCGCAATTCATTCAACAACTGTTTGGCAAATGAATATAATTCAGCAAAAAGAATGCTAGAACTGTATGAGCACCGGCAACAGCTTTCATTTGAGCAATAACTTGTACATGTGTCATATGAAAAAATATGAAAATGAACCAATTTAAAATACCCAGCTCGGGTATCCAAAATACTGTGTATTTAAATGTAAATAACTTTTATACAGTAGCATAAAAAACAAAATTTTGCATATTTGCATAAAATATAGATTTTACCCTTTCAAATGACACTACTTACGGGGGTCTGGTGCAACGCTAGCCCTTTAAATCTGAAAGCGAATGTCGATGAAGTCACGGACCCGGTACCGGGTCCGCAGAATTTAAGTGGTTAATAACTCATTTCTAATCATTTCTAATGATTTCTTTTATCTTTGCCATGATGACAGTACATACTATTTGTCTAGATATTTTTCGAGATACTACCCACATAGCAAAATTTATCTGGCCCAGCTCTGGCCCACACAATCAGGCTTTGCTTGGCCCACAAGCCGGAGTGAGTTAAGGTACATGACTTGACCAAATCTGGCTTTCAGACAAGGGCCAAACACAGACCATATCTGGGCCAAGTCTCAGCCAAGTTAATAACTCATAACTGGGCCTGAACTGGGCCAGATAAGTTGGTGTGTCACGATTGCAATGAAGTTGATAAACCTATGAAGCGTTGCGTTTTAGACACATTTGCTTTTTCTCAAAGTGACATGATTGGTACATTTTTGTTTTCTTTACTCAAAAATTATTTTAATGTATTTTAAATGTGGGTCAAGACTGGTCAAACACATGCGACCCACATATACATTTTTAAAAGTTGGGCCAAATACTACTTTTTACATCTAGCCCAAATCTAGTGTGCTACCCTAAAGACATTGCCATCTCTGCCAAACCCGGGCCATGTTTGGCCCACATGCTGCATGCCAGTGCCGGATGAATGCCTGCTGTGCCAGCTTTATGTCAAATCTGGGCCAGAATTCTTTGCTGCTAGGGTAGCATTCAGCTTAAAGACTTAACTAGTTTAAATAGGATAGTTAGGGTAATTAGGCAAGTCATTGTATAACAGTGGTTTGTTCTATAGACAATCAGAAACAAATATTGCTTAGTGGGTTTATAATCTTGACCTGAAAAATTTGTAAACATTTTAAAACTGCTTTTATTCTACCCGAGCTAAAGCAAATAAGACTTTCTCCAGAAAAAAAAATATAGGAAATACTGTGGAAAATTCCGTGCTCTGTTAAACATAATTTGGGAAATATTTGAAGAAAAAAAGAAGTACATCACAGGAGGGTGAATAATTCTGACTTCAAATGTATGCTTTGTTATGGCATCCATACTACAGTCATCTTCAACTTGTAGAAATAGAGTGTTTTGAAAATGCTGAAGACCCTGTATGAGTAAGGGTAACGGGAAGAGCTAGAACTGGGATTGGGCCTAAGTCACAAAGTGCTTTACAATAAAAGAAAACTGAAAAAAAAAAAAAACTACAGCTAAAAGAGAACATATCAATAAAAGAAACACATATCAAAACAAGTTAAATAATCCAAGCATAAAAACACCAATGCAAAACCAGCTCACCACACTGGTAATTGAAAGCTTGGCCAAAAACATAACAACATGTGTCTTTAAATGCTTTTTAAAAAGTGCTAGAGGGTTCCAGAGCTTTGGGGCCACAACACAGAAGGCACTGTCACCTTTAGTCTAAATACGTATAACTTACAATACCATTTTTTTATAAGCAGTTGTTTAAAAAGCTAATTCTACCAGCATAAATCTCTACTTCAACAAGACTCACATATATCAAGCTTTGCAGAAAAAAAACAGAGAGACTCAAAAAATCAAGAATTGGCAAGAATTTTCAACCTCATCGCAACCCGAATTTTCGACTTCATCCATTGTTCAGATTTTTGTGCTAGAAATGTGTGTAAATTAGCAATGCTTACATGAAATAATGACTCATTTGCATATTTAGATATAACATTTTAGAACATTTCACAATTCATATACTGCTATAAATCAATTGCAAAATTGCAATTATTATAACTGCTATTAATATGTACCATATTCACCAAAAGTACCTTGCCTTTAAACAAAATTTTTTAATAAAATAAAATGAAATAAAATGAATTAAATAAAAACATATTAAATTAAACATAAATAAAATAATAAAATAAAAAATAACAAAATAAAAAGAATTAAAAAAATCTAAAGTAACAAAAAATGGAAATAAAAAAATAATAACAGTATTAAAAAAATTAAGTTAAAGTAAATTGAAAAAAAAATAAAAAGAAAAATTAAAATAAATAAAATAAAATAAAAAGAAATAAAAATCTAAAGAAACAAAAAATAGAAAAAACATAAAACTAAATAAAAAATAAAATAAAAATAAAATAAAAATTAATTAACTAAAAAGAAAATAAATAAAATGAACAACTAATTAAATTAAAACAAATAACATAAAATCTAAATAACTACAATAAAATAATTATTTAATAAAAATAAAATAAAATAAAATAAATTAAATTAAAATAGCTAATATTAAAATTGAACTTAAATAATTTTTTTTAATTAAATAAAATTAAATAAATAAACAAATGACCAAATATATTAAATAATTAAATAATAAGCAAATAATTAAACATATTATTAAAAAATAAGAAAGAAAGAAAGAAAGAAAGAAAGAAAGAAAGAAAGAAAGAAAGAAAGAAATAAAGAAAGAAAAGATAAATTAAGTAAGATAATAGCCCGAGATTTATAAACAAAACCCAAAAAGCAAATTCCGAACCACGTTTGGTGCCACTAGAGCCAGCTGCAACCAAAACTGTCCAAACCCAAGCCAACCCACAGATCAGCATCAGTGAGCCTTCCGAATGTGCAGCGATCACATCAGGCCATTAATAAGTAAAACGCCTCTCACCTCGACTCCCTGCACTTTGAGCTTCATGTGATCCTCCCGTGTGGTTTTGCCATCTTTCCTCTTCTTCCAGCAGTAGCCATCTTTTCTGTACTTCACCTTCTTCCTGTTGTAGAGGATCATAGAGCCATTCTGCGGCCTGAGACAAACAGAAACACAAAAGGCTTACATTACACCGCTGTCAGGAAGTGGATTTAGCAAACACACAATGAGCATGTGTAGTAATCCAACCTCCTTCAATTTACATACACAAGAAATTCCCTCAAAACAATTCGTAACTCAACACTAATAATAAAACACTTTAACAAAGCAATGACCGGATCCTCCATCGCTCAGAGCTGATGTGAGGAACGTACAGCTCATTACTATCATAAGCGTATCGGAGATGGAGTAAAACACGTTAGCTTGACGAAAAGCCTTCCAGAGCGCAGCACTAGCAGGATTAATATGGCATTGAGACCCTTTATGTTGCTGCACGTTCACATTTATACTGGAGCTTTATTGGCGGCTCTTCTTCTCAACCCACTTCTTGCTTTGACACAGAAACAATCGGTCTCGGGACTGTATTTAATGGCAACTGTTTATATGTTTTGTTGTCTTGTGCAGTGGTTGCTTCCGCTCATTTTTCAGCCATGCAATGAACATGTTTCTGGGTTACTATTCGCCAAAGCTAAAGAGTCCTGCCAGCTGATGCCATGCTGTGTGGGAAGAGGCCGAAGTCTGAAACCTCACAGACCCTGAGTGGGAGACAGAGTTTGATCTGCAGTTCGGATTTAGTTTTAGACTTTTTGACACTTTTTACTTGTTCAATGGCAAAACAATAGACAAAAATGAAGAAAACCAAAAGAAAATGGGACTGGTCTGAATTAGAGCGGCATTTCTTCCTCAAGCAAAATGGCTCAACGATGAATTTCTGCTTAAAATGTCTCCTAAAAAGGTGATATTAATTTTTTATGCATTTTTTCAGTTACTTATTCTATTAATTATTATACTAATTAAAATGGGTATTCTATTAAAAAAAATTTAATAAAAAAAAAAAAAAAAATATATATATATATATATATATATATATATATAAAATACCATAATAAATTCTAATAGATTTTTTATAATAATAATAATAATAATATTAAGTTGAAGTCAGAATTATTAGCCCCCCTTTGATTTTTTTTCCTTTTTTAAATATTTCTTAAATGATGTTTAACAGAGCAATGCAATTTTCACAGTATGTCTGATAATATTTTTTCTTCTGGACAAAAATCTTTCTTTTATTTCGGCTAGAATAAAAGTAGATTTGATAAAAAAAAAACATTTCAAGGTCAAAATTATTAGCTATTTGTTTTCGATAGTCTACAGAAAAACCATCATTACACAATAACTTGCCTAATTACCCTAACCTGCCTAGTTAACCTAATTAACCTAGTTAAGCCTTTGAATGTCACTTTAAGCTGTATAGAAGTGTCTCGAAAAATATCTAGTCAAATATTATTTACTGTCATCATGACAAAGATAAAATAAATCAGTTATTAGAAAAAAAGTTGTTAAAAACATTATGATTAGAAATGTGTTGAAAAAATCTTCTCTTTATTAAAAGGAAATTGGGGGAAAAATAAACATGCATGCTAATAATTCAGGGGGGCTAATAATTCTGACTTTAACTGCTTATATTAATATTTTTTTAAATTTTAATGTACATATAAACTATAAAAAAACTAAATAAAAATATATTTAAATACTATAAAATTGTCACTTAGGCAGTTTGATCTGCAGTAATAAAATAAAGTCAAAATACTACTGTTTGCAATTTATTTTTATATTTGTTTATATATTATTTTATATAATTTTTTACATAACTATATACATAATATAAATACTATTAATAATAATATATTATTATTATTATTATTATTATTATTATTATTATTATTATTATTAATATTGGGCGACGCAGTGGCGCAGTAGGTAGTGCTGTTGCCTCACAACAAAAAGGTCGCTGGTTCAAGCCTCGGCTAATCAGTTGGCGTTTCTGTATAGAGTTGCATGTTCTCCCTGCGTTCACGTGGGTTTCCTCCGGGTTCTCCGGTTTCCCTCACAGTTCAAACACATGCAGTACAGGTGAATTTGGTAGGCTAAATTGTCCGTAGTGTATGAGTGTGAATGGGTGTGTTTCCCAGATATGGGTTGCGGCTGGTAGGGCATCCGCTGCGGGAAACATGTGTTGGCTAGGCGATTCATTCCACTGTGGCAACCCCGGATTAATAAAGGTAATAAAGGGACTAAGCCAAAAATAAAATGAATGAATGTATTATTATTATTATAAAATTTTTATTCATGATCATGATTTTTTTTTATTTTTAAGTTTTATTTTATTATTATGTATATTTATATTATTATCATTTTAAATTTTTTTTTTACATTTTAATCTACATAAAAACTGTTTTAAACGAAAAAAATAAAGAATAAATATATTTAAAATACTAGATTGTAATAGATTTTTATGAGAATAAAAAATAATTATAAATGCAGTTGAAGTCAAAATTATTAAGCCCTCCTGTTTTTTAACACATTTTAAACATAATAGTTAATAGTTTTAATAACTCATCTCTAATATCTGTGTGTAAAAAAAAAAAAAAAAAAAAAAAAAAAAAAAATATATATATATATATATATATATATATATATATATATATATATATATATATATATATATATATATATATATATATATATATATATATATATATATATATTATTAAAAACATTAAACATTTTCATATATATAAAAAATATATTTAAAATAATTTGCACTTTAATATCATCAAAACAATTAACATTTCTCCCTTTTGCCCTTATTTATTTTATTTGTTTTGTAATTTTTTATCCATATATCTATTTTTTTTGCACTAGAAATGTTTTCATAAGCCTCCCCATACAGTAAATGATGCTCATTTCTCTTAGTGTTAAAAGTGCAAAGACACATACTGTACGTTTCCCCCATTAAGACACAGGTGAACGTATTTTTATTTATTTTTTTGTATCGAGCGCTTCTCAGAATGCTTAATATTTTAACAGGACTATTTATCGTGAGTGTGTTTCAAGCCATTTACTCGGCTCCTTTTCCTCAGGACCTTTGGGTAAGCCATTTTCTTTTTTAATTGAAGGCAGTTTGTTCCAGGAAAAAAAATGAAGCACTTTAGCAAAGGGAGGAATGTGAGGTGGGCCCGGAGCAGATTTCCCAAAAGCAGCCGGAACAAGAGCTCTCTTCTCTCCGTGTTCTTAGGCGATCCAATTAATCTTATCAGAACTATACATATTTATACATGGAGAGCAGGGCCGAAAGGAGTGCTAACCGTTCTGTTATCACACTCGGATGACAGGACGCCTCTTCTGTTTCAGCGACTTAATGTAGAAATGGAAAATATCAGAGAAAGGTGGTTGGGAATACTGTCTTTTTCAAGGACGGTACAGTATATGTTTGATTAAACACAGGCAGTCGATACGGCCTCAGCAGAGTTTTAGATACGTGCAGAATGAATAATAAATGGGATTGTAATGCTTTCTAATGTATTCATAATGCATCATCTATGTAGTCGTTGCACTTAAAGGAACACTCCACCGTTTGTTTTAAGAGAAAAGGCTCATTTTATAAGTCTTGGAGAGTTGAACAGTAGACTTGAACCACTTTTTAATCCACTAAGCCAACTGCTTGCTTTGGTGGAGTCACTTTTAGCTTAGCTTAGCATAATGAATTGAATCGGATTAGACCATTAGCATTTTGTTTCAAGGCACCCTGAAATAGTAAGCCATTCTCCTGTGCTTCATGTTATCACTCTGCTTGGTGCAACAATGGTACAGTGCAGAGACTGTTATATCAGAAAGAGAGTATCATTCCTTCATTTTCCTTTGGCTTTATTTATTAGAGGTTGCCACAGTGGAATGAACTGCCAACTATTCCGGCACGTTTTACGCAATGGATGCTCTTTCAGTCACAACCCAGCACTGGGAAACACCCATACACTCTTACATTCCCATGCACTTATTCACTACGGCCAATTTAGTTCATCCAATTCACCTTAAGCGCATGTGTTTGGACTGTGGGGGAAACTGGAGCACCCAGAGGAAACCCACGCCAACACGGAGAGAACATGGAAACTCCACACAGAAATGCCAACTGACTCAGCTGGTGCTCGAATCAGTGACGTTCTTGCTGTGAGGCGATCATGCTACCCACTGTGCCACAGTAACACAACAAAAAATATTCTGAAATTCAAAACCAGAAATTCAGTTTGTGAAATTTAGATTCAGTGCAGAAAGTAGGTCAGGGATCATCAACAGGTAAGAGTAGATGATCACCGAATTACAGGGTGCAAATTAATGGGGGTTCTGGAAATAGGTAAAAATAGGTGTTTTTTTTTGTCTACATATAGCCTAATGTAAAATTAAACTCATATATATTTGAATAGACGTCTACGGTAAGTTTAAAAATATGTCTATACAAATACTGCCTTAAATTTCAGATGTTTAATGTTCAAGTATCAAATTCAATTTCAAATTAAGAAATTTAAATCCAAATTTAAAAAATATAATTTAAATAAACAAATCTAATTCAAATAAAAAAATTCAAATTCACATAAAAAATTATAAATCAAATTTAAAAAATCGAAATAAAAAAAATCTAATTCAAATTCAGAAATTAAAATTTAAATAAAAAATATCAAATTCAAATAAAAAAATTCTAGTTTTAAATTAAGAAATTCTAATATAAATTAAGAAACTCAATAAAAATCTAATTCAAATAGAAAAATCAAAACCAAAATCAAAAAATTCAAATTCAAATAAAAAAAAATCTAATTTAAATTAAGAAATTCAAATATAAAAAAATCTAGTTCAAATACATTTTTTATTTAAATTAGAAAATTCAAATTCAAATAAAAAAAAATAATTTAAATTAAGAAATAAAAATTTCAATGAAAAAAAATCTAATCCAAAAAAAAAAAAAAAAATCTAATTCAAATTAAGAAACTCAACACAACAACAAAAAAATCTAATTCAAATAAAAAAAATATTAAGAAAAATTTGATTTAAAACTTTTTTTAAATTACAACTGTCAATCATTCAAAGTAACACAATTCAAATTCT